TTTTTTCTTCAGAAGTTTTTCTTCTTCAGAATCCAGACTTTGACCAGACTAGACAATGTACCATACCAAATAATTATTATGTTGAAATGGATTTTGTTGTAGATATACTCATTAAACCCCTATATTTGTACTTAATTGGGCTTGATTTTCTATCTCTTAAGTTAGTCAGATTTTCAACTCAAGTTGCAGGAGAAGGCTTAGCAAAGTGCATTTCAGAAGTGTAAAATGCAATAGCTTCTCCTACGGATTTTGTATTTCCCCAAAACAAGTACAATATATATATACTCATTAATTAAAGTGATATATACTCACTAATTAAATGTAACAGTGAAAGATTTGCCAATATATTGGTATTGAAATAAAGAGCACATTTTAGTATCAAAGACACACAGTTCACCTGTCAATTTGGTCATTTTCCGGGGGGTACGTTTATTCTGGAGGGTATGTTTATTAGACTTTGACGATTTGTCCGGGGGGTATGTTTATTCCGGGGGGTATGTTTATTAGGGACATGAGAGTAAAGAAATGAATTAAAGAAAATCCAGTTTTGCCACCCTGAAATGACATTGGATGCCTTTAATACATGTAGATGTAGGTAGATTCACTACAAAGCACAAGTTTTGAGTAAAAAGCTCTTTGTGCTGAAAGGATGTTGTAGCTTACCAGAAGACCAGCAGCCTCTGCTCTAACTGTCATAGTCAGGTCATTCACCATGTTGCAGATCTTAGCAAAGCCATCATCCACAAGACGCAGCTCCTCATTGGAGGATGGGACAGGGATCATTCTGCAAACAGTAAACAGCACTGTCATTGCTCAGTACATAAAGTAAAGCATACAACAGCATTGCAACTTATGGTATGTATGTATGGCAGCCATGAAACAGCAGAAGTCATTGACAGTTATCATTTTCGATTTTGCACCATCAAATACCATGGTCTACAAGACAAGGCTTCTAATTGGAGGAGGGGATAGAGATCATTCTCAATCTGCAAACACCTCTGTCATTGGTCAATAGACATGACCAATGTATTATAGACAACTGTACTGCATTGTGGGCAATGTAATAATATCCACATTTTTTACAGTAATCTTACATCAATAAGAAATCTGAGACTTTTCATTGGAACTGTGGAGAGGATTGCATGATCATTACTGTCTTCTTTTTTTTAATCAGGTATTACACCACTTCCTGAATTCCTCCACATTCCACCCACATACACATACAATGTACTCCCACCTGGCAAGTACTGGGAGACAATTGGCTGTGACCTCCCTACCATCTATCAACTGTCAAAATCACCTCCCACCCTCCACACAACTGTTGTTACTTGCACAAACACACAAACTCAGCCAATCAAAACAATACTTCTGTACCCAGAAGTCAAGACAAGATGTGAAGTAACTAGAAAGGCCAATATTTGCTTTGGAGCAAATACAGCGATGGGTTCACCACATTTTACCACATGGCAGGGAAAGAATGAGAAACACAAGGGAAAACAATGATTTACATTGATATAACTATAATATGAAGTAAAATACAACTAAAACAACAGTTGGATAGCTATTCCCTACTTTATTGGTTAGGATTTTTAATTGCATAATGCAAACTGTTGATTTTCAAAATAAAAAACGTACCATGCCCGGCATTCCAATGCTGGAGCAGGAAAGCTTGAAATACCTACCAAAACACTTGAATACTCTCATGTCCCTAATAAACATACCCCCCGGAATAAACATACCCCCCGGACAAATCGTCAAAGTCTAATAAACATACCCTCCGGAATAAACGTACCCCCCGGAAAATGACCAAATTGACAGGTGAACTGTGTGTCTTTGATACTAAAATGTGCTCTTTATTTCAATACCAATATATTGGCAAATCTTTCACTGTTACATTTAATTAGTGAGTATATATCACTTTAATTAATGAGTATATATATATTGTACTTGTTTTGGGGAAATACAAAATCCGTAGGAGAAGCTATATTTTTGCATTTCACACTTCTGAAATGCACTTTGCTAAGCCTTCTCCTGCAACTTGAGTTGAAAATCTGACTAACTTAAGAGATAGAAAATCAAGCCCAATTAAGTACAAATATAGGGGTTTAATGAGTATATCTACAACAAAATCCATTTCAACATAATAATTATTTGGTATGGTACATTGTCTAGTCTGGTCAAAGTCTGGATTCTGAAGAAGAAAAACTTCTGAAGAAAAAAACTTTTGAAGAAAAAAAATATTGTTCAGCATAAAATTTTTATTGGTTTCCATCTCATTGTTTTTTTAAAAATCGATAATGTGATTGTATCAATTTTAAACGCCCTAAAATTAGCTAAATCGGCGCTTTTACGGTGATTGCGCAATATGGGTGCCCTATGACCTTTGACTTTTTACGGGTCATGCTGCTCAGGCGCTAGGCGCCCTCCCCACGTCGGCCGTCCGTCTTGTGGGCAAATTTCTACTTTTTTAGGGGTTTCAGGACCTAAAAATTAACACCAGAGGGAAAATAAACCACATACGTTTTTTTCATGGTAAATATCGCTAAAATGGACCAGGCATTTTTCTGCCGCGTTGCCGATTTTGACAAGGACTTGCGGCCGCCGTGTGCTAAATACGTCGATTAGCTACTCGCCTTCCCCTTCGGTTTTGTGGGCAAATTTTTGCTTTTTCAGACGTTTTGGGACTTAAAAATGGACAGCAGGCGAAAAATAAATAATATACATTATATTCATGGGAAATGCCGCTATCATGGACCAAATATTTATCTGTGACGTGTTGCCGAATTTTGCGGCCGCCGGCCACTTGCTGATGGTGCGGTACGTACGGACAATTTTTTTTCCCAAAAAATTTTATAAACGTACCGTCCCTAATAAGAATGTACCGGGTGGACATTCGGGCCGAAAAAAATAAACGTACCGGTACGTTTAATCGGGACATCAGAGTACAGACATACTGTCAGTATGGAAATGCTTCTGTGCAGGTGTTAATCAAGTTAAATCCCAACAGCCAATCAGCAAGAAATGCTCTGTGCAGGTGGAAATGCTCTGTGCAGGTGTTAATCAAGTTAAATCCCAACAGCCAATCAGCAAGAAGTATAGAGGAAAGCTGCATGCCTATTGGTTGATGCCCTGCAATCCATTGTGATGACTCATGCCCAAACGTGGTAAACAAGGCAAACTAACACAGTAATACATTTGCTATAACACAGCCAAAAAACTCAAATAAAACCATTCTAAAAGCCTGTATCACAATAATTTAAAAAAACGCCTAGGGGTATTTGCCCACTGTACCTCCATACCAAATTTCAGGACCTTAGGCCCTAAAATGAAGAAGCTTTTACTTCGTGGTGTGGTGAACCCATAACTAACGTTTCTGGATAGAGTTGACTGTAGACCCAGATGAGCTTGACTGCTGCCAGTCTAACCCCCTCATAGTCGTCAGTCAGGGCTGAACAGGCCTGCTGGTAGCCTCCCAGGCTAAGTTTCAACCCTCGCTGGTGCAGGGTCAGCTACATGATTGTGATACAATGTATACACATTATAATTACCTTGTGTAAGTCACTTTGTGTCAACACATTTAGTCATAAGGCAAAAAAATGCTCTTATAGATACATGTAGACAGTTTTAACATTTGCAAAATGTTCATCATCACAAATCATGTACCAGTATTACATGGGTTTTGGACTCTAAATGACACAAATCATAAAATCAAGTTACCATAGCCTGCAGTGCACTGGTGCGGACCCTTGGGTCCTGGTCATGTGACGCATCAGCCAGGATCCTCTCCACCGCCAGGTCTCCCTTCCCAGCAACCCCTGCTGTGCCCAGGCAGCCAATCAGCTCCAGGCATTTAGAGCGGACCAGATGGTATGTGTCTGTTAGAAACTGTGGGACATTTTAGGGTAAGATTAACAACACATTGTGAAATCGAGAGGTTTCCGAATTCAGCGTAGAGTGTTGTCGGGATCCCCCTTGCAGGCCCTCTTCAATGCCAAAAGCCGAACCCCAAAGTTGCTGCTGATTTTGATGGAGGTGTTTGAAATAGAAGACAGGCTAGGGTACGAGGCTTATGGTGTTCACACAAGAACAGTGTGTCATTAGTACTACCTAGTGAGAGAGTGAGTGAGTGTAGTACTACCTGCTGTGCTATAGTAACCAGTTTCCTGTGCAGGTCCTGGTGCAGGGGCAGCCCACGCCCGATCTGGAGCAGGGAGTCCAGCAGCTGGGCTCTGACCTGGTGGGACTCTGCAGGAAAACACAGCAACTGTCACTTTAGATACAGTGTTTAGACAGACAGTTTAGTTAGTGATGCTGTTACACCAGGTATGGGGGTACCAGAGTACATTGTATACAGTGCAATTTTACAGTTTACAGTTCCATGTTATGGAATACAGTGCAATTTACATGTATGTGGCATTGTGTAGCGTAGTGGTAGATCATTTGACTGTGAACCAGGGAGACCCGGGTTCGATCCCATGTCGTACCCGGGACATGTCTGAACATGCGCCTGATGTTGTGCCCTTGCGAAAGGCACTTTACACAACTTTCCTCACTCCACCCAGGTGTGAATGGGTACCTAACTTCAGTTGGGGAAAGTCGTATTGAGGTCACCTGGTGGTGCCGAATGGCAGCCGCACAGACCCTTGTGACCATTCCAAAAAAATGTGGGTGGAACAAATATGCATCATGATTGTGTATTATGTGTATTATTATGTGTATTATTACCATCTGATTGTAAACCCTGCATCAATTCAGCACTATAAGGCTGCGATTGCACGGGTGATGTTTGGCCAATAAACCAGACAATAGAAGCATGATATTGCTCATTCCTCAACAAAGACTGGTGTTGTACAGTCTGCTCAAAATTTGCGTAAATCTAATTTCTTGCTTTGAAAATTAGTTTAAAGTTGCTTCATAATGACTGCTACCAACACAGATGAATTTCAGGATAAAACATATGAAGTTGGCTGACCTTCAGCCTGTAAGAGTGAGGTCAGGTCGTCCACTAGTGCAGCTGCTGCAAACCCCGGTGTGTGAGCCAGGCGACCCAGCAACTGGGCAATCTTACTCCGCACATACGACTCCTTCTCCTAAACACAGCAAGGAATATTAATCAGATTGGACATTTTAGACTTAGTCTTAGTTAAAAAGAAAAAGAATCAGAATTAGTAGAATTAGCCTTTGCCAGCATTCTGAAATTGGCAAAATAGCCTTACATACTACTTTCACCTGGAGCTTGCTATTACAGTATTAGTCCCTTTAAGGCATGACCTCCCTTATAATAATCAATCAACTGTCAAAATCCAACCACACACACACACACACACAAACACACAAACCAACAGCTATATGCCACCCAAAACAATACTCCCATACCAAGAAGCTAGTGTCATCATATCCGACCTTGTACCAGAACTCTAACAAGTGCCTGACTGCAACCTCCACTGCACCAGACTCATCAGGCAGGTTGTTGGAGAACTTTAACAGCAACTGGACTGCAGCCTGGGGGGTCTTGGCTGTGCTGAGGTCCAAGACCTCTTCGGGAGACGGCTTCCTGGCAAGCTTTAGCTTCTTCGGAGGTTTGACCTCCTCCTTTAAATGAAAAATAACTTATATGTCTTACGTTCCTGTTACGCGTAATAGCTGAATATATATGGCCCCTGAACACTGTCAGAACCCTCTGAGGATTAAAATTAATAAGGCCATGTTGATTTGACATCCACGGGGCCATGAATTTTCATCCGTTTCCGAAAAAAAGTTTTTGACCATACTGTAAATCGTACAAAATGAGCATGTTGCAAAAAAAGTATTGGGAAACGATACTAAATATGTCATAGAATATCCGAAATCAATTCAGAAAAAGAAGAAAATGTGAAAAAATGAAAATGAAGAGTCTATTATTATTTGCCATATACCATAGTACTCTGTGTATTTTAAATTTAATAGTTATTTGTTCAACCTTCATGACGACGTAGATTTCATAATGAAGGAAACTTTTTTTTGGTAACTTTTTATTCCCACGCTCGCATCAGTTTTGGGTTCCCAGAGGATATCATCCAACATGTTAGCCGCGGCGACTGTTGCAGGGCTTCTCTTGCTTGCAGTCTTTTATATTAGCCCTAACAACAGTCGCGGAGCGGTGCATAGGGCCAAATGAACAAACATGCGTTTTACCGTGCCGGAACACTTTGAGACCGAAGTTTGGACGTCCCCAGATTCCTAACAGCCTCACCTAACGTGCCGGGGTGTTTTGTGCGTCAACCGGCCCCTGCGCGACTCGTACCGCCACTGTTTGCGATCGCTCCCCATGTAAAACATAACAGTTGGCCGCCATTTTTGATTGGAATCGGCCGCCTGCAAATTTGCCGCTACTTTTCAGATATGCTATTTCTACGGATTAGAAAAGTAGTGGCGCATTTGCAAGTAGCTGATTCGGCGCGCTGCTGACCAAGATGGCGGCCACTCGGCTTATGAATACATGGGGAGCGATCGCAAACAGTGGCGGTACGAGTCGCGCAGGGGCCGGTTGACGCACAAAACACCCCGGCACGTTAGGTGAGGCTGTTAGGAATCTGGGGACGTCCAAACTTCGGTCTCAAAGTGTTCCGGCACGGTAAAACGCATGTTTGTTCATTTGGCCCTATGCACCGCTCCGCGACTGTTGTTAGGGCTAATGTAAAAGACTGCAAGCAAGAGAAGCCCTGCAACAGTCGCCGCGGCTACCAACATGTAACTGTTATACATGTACAATAGATACACATTTCTTTTATTGCCTGAAGAACATTGTTCTAGCACGTAGCACCTTGCACAAACATCTCCAGAGGACTGATTGTTTATTGGATATATAACCAGAAAGGTGCTAATTTTGCCAGTGGTACGGCGTAATAAAATATTGAAACCAGATGAAACTTTAAAATTATTCAAAATCGCCGCCCCCCCCCCCCCACT